ACGAACACAATTCAGTCGAATCTCGTGGCACAGTCTTGGGTATACACCGTTCGTTTATTGCGGTTGCGCCTTGTTTGAAGCTTGCCTCGTTATGCTCCGAACCACCGATTTTGTGACACAGTTTCGGGGATTTGTGAGTTGCTGGGAACAGCAAACTCATCGGTAATTACGGTGGCTTCTATGTGCTTTACATATCGAAGAAAGACGGAGGTGGATCATGGGGGGGTGTGACCATATATCTATATATATGTATGTATATATGTGTATATATATATATACACATATAATTGCCGACTAGCCTACAATGGTGACAGTATTAGAATATAGCAGCTAAGAGTAGTTACTGTACTCATATGTATACATTTGCATTTCTACGCATGCCATGTCCGTGAAAGTGCATTGTCCTGCTGTGGGTTGCGCCGACCCTGCGTTTTCGATGGCTTTAGGGCTTGCCGCCAACTCCACAGTAGGAAAAAAACAATAGAACAAAACATACCAAACAAAACGAACAACCAACGAAAAAAACAACTACCATTACAAAAAAGACTACCAAAAGCACCAAACAAAACAACCAATACCAAACAAAAACCAAACATACCAACATAACCAAAAGACAAAACTACCAACAACAACCAAAATAACAAAAACAAACAAGTTTCCCGAGCTAATGAAATTCGGGCACCAGATTCGGCGTCTTTTCTACGGCCACTCCCCCAATAGGAGACCACGAACTCCAGACCATATTTGAGCCGCAGAGCTCACGGACAGTTGGGCATTGGCCCTACTTACCTTACGACACACTTGTTTTGCCGGCACAGCCGGCGTCTCATTTTGTCTCACTCTGAGTGTCACCAGCTAAGGCAACTAAGGCGTGTGACTGCAGTGCACATGAGGGATGCAACCTTTGCCTGTACCCAGCCCTTCGGGTTTTTGTTTGGGTTTTTTGAAGCAGCCGCTCCGGGGCCCCACGATTCCAGGAGTGTTTGTGTTGGTTATTTTGCTTTTTGGGTACTTTTTTCTTTCGGTATTTTTTTTTGGTATGTTTGGTTCTTTTGGGTTTGCGGCTCTTTTACATAATCTTCGAGAGTCCGTTTAGTAGTTTCCTTCTGCGCGTATTGAAGGATTTGGTTGCAAGCCCTAAACCACACAAAACGCGCACGTCCAGGGTCCCCCGTTTTGTATGTATGTATGTATGTATGTATGTATGTATGTATGTATGTATGTATGTATGCATGTGTGTGTATGTGTGTATGTTTATATATATATATAGTATGTGTATACGTATACATACATATACATATGTGCGCCATGTACGGAATGTACACATAGTTTATTTTGTAGACAATGTATGTGTGTATGCAGAGATATGTATGCACACATACATCTGTATGTATACAGATAGATAGATAGATAGATAGATAGACAGATAGATGGATAGATAGATCGATATACACATGCACATGTGTGTGTGTCATACATACATGCATGCATGCATGCATGCATGCATACATACATACATACATATCATATATTACATTACATTACATTACATTACATTACATTACACTACATTACATTACATTACAATACATTACAATACATTACAATACAATACATTACATTACATGACATTACAGTACACTACACTACACTACACTACACTACATTACATTACGTTACGTTACATTACATTACATTACATTACATTACATTACATTACAGTAGATACATACGCACATACATACATACATACATAAATACATACGTACACACATACATACATACATACATACATACATACATACATACATGCATGCATACATACACACATACATACATACATACATACATACACACACATACATGCACACATACATCTTACATGCAAACCGACAATACAGACAAGACCTATATGCACATTAGACTGTAATATATTCATACTACATTACGTTGCCTTACGTTGCATTAAGTATGCATTCGTGGATTTCGGAGCAGAAGCTCTGGGAGGCTCGCCGTAGCTGGGGGCCACTCCTTCGCCTCATGCGAGGGCCTCAGATTTAGGATGCCTTTTTTTCTGGCTCGGAGAAGAACTGGATTTGTTGTTTTTTTGAAGGTTTTTTTTGAAGACTATGGAAATACACAACTTGAACAGCAAATCAGCGGAGGCAGGCTGCTCTGTGTGGCGCCTTCGCCAAATCCTGGAATGCCGTGGAGGTTTTAGAATAGGGCTTGGAGGTATCTAAAACAATAATTATATACCACTTGGAGAGGAGGGGGGTCGATTTGAACCTGGCCCCGTGGGGTTGGCCAGGTTTGGATCCTTGGGGCTTTGGGCTTTGGTCGGTTAAAGAGGTGTTTAATTGCCCTGCTTGGGGGCTGCGCAGTGCTTCAGGGTTTTCGGTTTGAGATCCAGAGCGCTTCGTGCTCAAGTGGTTTAAGGGTTCAGGGCTTCTCCCGCCTGAGAACCTTCATTTAGCTGGCAGTTAGCACGTTGCCGTTGCATGTTATCGATAGCGTATCAAGCACCCCAAGCGCGAGGCCTGATTGCTGTGACTCCAACAGCTCGCAGAAGAATGTGTTCTTCCTGATGTCCTTGAAGCCAGATAGCCCCGAACAGGTGTGCGCCGTGTGGCATACCCGCTGAAGGCGCATCCGACTTATGAGAACAGGAAAAAAAGCGCATACGTTTTCTCTGGCTTTCGCTTATTTCGAGGAGCTGTGCAAGAAACTCGAATGCCTTCCTCGGCGATTACAGGCATCGTATGCGCAGCCTCAAGCAACCCTGGATGGCAGGAAAGTGCCGTTCAGGCCATGGATACTTTCAACGAGACGACCAGCTCCCGCAACAGGACGGGTTACCTTACCGTACCCCTTTCCTTGTGGGAATCACTCTTGCTGGGGCTCCTTGTATCTGACTGATGACGACCAGCCCTCCCAGAAGTACGGAGTTGTCGGGATTTAGGGTTTTTCGGGCTTAGGTTTAGGTCTTCCAGTTTGGGCTTAGGTTTGTTGGCATCCTTGTGCAAGCTTGCACATCCCCCACGCCCCTGCACCCCCAAACCCAAAATGATGCCCTTTTGAGCGGCCTCGTGCTGTCAATCACCGAGTTTGCATGGCCGTAGCGACGATGATGCCTGCAACTTTGCCAGAAGGGAGCGGTCATAGCACACATAGTGGCAGACGTTAACGGCATAGCAGTGATGTCGACGGCAGCAACCGCAGCAGCATCCAAAACGACAGCCGCCGTGCGGAAGCACCCCACCGATTACAACGCATAGCCTTCATCACCTCGACACCAAAGGAAAGAGTTAGCACAACCTTGTTGATTGCTTAAGGCTGTCTCGACATGGTCTCTCTTGTCAGAGATTGCTGGCATCGTTGTCTCTGCAGCTACCGATTTCCGAATGAGGGCTTGGGGCATTGAAGTCTAGACGTTGGAAGAGGGCTGTAGGCAGGTTTAGGCTTTGGTTCAGAAGCTTCCCCTTGGCGGAAAGCATGAGTGTGCTTGTTCGGCTTGTCCGATCCAGCAGCTATTTACCCAGGTCTTGGTCCTCGATCCGTTTGCCACTGGTGAGAGAACCTAAACCCTGGAGACCCAAAGCCTTCAGTCCTAAGCCCTAAACTGCCCAAACCTTCTAAGATCTCCAAGTCGAAGCTTCGAGCAATGTCTTTGGAGGAAGGTCGTGGGCTGGAAAGTTGAAGCGAACTGCGAGAGATTGGCTTTGTCTTGTGGCACGAGAGCCCACGAACACCCATAAAGCGCATTTACATGTGATGAAAGCTGCAAGTACCAGCGAGAGCTAGAGCGATAGAATTGTAGATAGAAACAGAGAGACGGCGAGAAAGCGAGAAAGAGAAGAAGTGAGACAAACCAATGCTCATAGCGATAAGTGTATCATACGTGTGCGGGTGTATGTACATATATGCGTATGTATCCGTATACATACACACACATCTATACATATATATATATATACATATATATATATATAAAGAGAGATATGTGGAGTGCAAGAATACAGAGTTTGCACAAGCTGCTCGGCAGGGGCACGTCGCATCATGCACAGCACTCAGAAGTCGCACACCTGCTTGCCACAGAGTTTTCTGGCCTTGGGTTTCACGGGTTCTAAGTCGGTTCTTTCAAAGGTTCTATAAAGGTGCCACAAAATTTCGGAAGGTTCTCTAAGCTTTGGGGCTTACAGTCCAGGGGCTGCAATGTTGAACTGAAGTGTTTCAGGCTTCTCGCTACGGAAACGACATCTTCCGAGTGGTGCCATAAGAACTCGGGTTTGCCTGGCCAGGCTCTTACATCAGGCACTAACCCCCCAAAGCCCCAAAGACCGATAAGTCAAAAACCCTATAAACTCGTTTGTGAACTTGCCGATGCAAAGGCGCCGACCTTCGTCCATCAGTGAGCTGGCTTTAGGGCGTTCATGGGGTTTTGGTTTCGCAAGCATTTAGGACCTTAACACAGCCAATGCTGATTTGCTTCATGCTTTGAACCTTACACGGAACCAAAATGCAGACAGTAGTGTCGAAGGCAAATGCCGGCGATGTAGCAAATATGGGGAGGTGTATTTCATACCGGCGGATGCCATTGTAGGTAATATCCGGCTCTAACAACATAGAAGCACTGGAAAAACAGAATAGGGGTTTGGTGTATATTGAAGTGTAGGTGCATAGGGAAGATGAAGGAGATGGAGTTCATTAGTCAGACCCTTTCTTGACCGACTGGCTGTCGTTCCGGTTAACACAATCATATGACTTCCGTGGTCAGGTGGCAGTACCATTGCTTTCACAAAAAACCTACCTAGCCGTTATCCTTGCGCTTCTGCACCTGGGAGACCACCCAAATAGGAACGACAAAAAGCAGCTACGCAGCAGTAATAGCAGCTCGAAAATCTCAAAACAGGCTCATACTGGAACAATTAATGAGACTCGTATTTCCCACCGTTTGGAAGTTCACATTCTCGACGCAGAGCCTGGGATTCAGAATCTGAGGATGTGCTCCAGGGATTTCCTGAGTTAGGCTGACACATTGCCTTTAACAACGGTTTTGCGGGTTTCTGCGCATTTTGAGGTTTCGGAAACGTAGGAGATTTAGGGGTTATCGGCTTCGACGTGGAGGGGCCCCACCCGGAGGGTGGAGCTCTCTTTTTGGTAGGAAAGGTGTCTCTCGATGTCGGGTACTGGAAAGCATCAGGTGGAGGACTAGACTGACTAGATGCTCATCCTATCCGTGTTCGGATCATATCGGGCACGTCGCTGTGCTCAAGCCCCTTGTCACCTTTAGCTTAGAATTCAGTTTAAGGTTATCAGATAATAATGGTGGATGGTCTGGACATCCAATTAAAGAGCATGAAGTTTTAGCGGCATGCAGCGGCCCAAAAAATGTATAGACATAGACAAACATAGATAAATACATAGACAAGTGCATGTATGCGTACAAGTACAGGTACGAGAACGTCCGAGCTCCATGATGAAGCTCAGCCACTTTACAACTTAGAGTATCTTGGCCCGAAGTTCGAGATTCATCCCTTCGGCTGCTGGGGAGTGCTGGGACTATTGGCCACAACCCAAAACTCCCTGCGTTTCCTTTCACCCCACAAGCTCAGGGGCGACATCTAACATTCACGTCCTTGAAGCCCCCTGTCCGAGCCAAGAGGCCAATTTTCCCAGCTCCCCGGGTTAGAATGGCTAGAGCCAGTTCTCATCATGTCTTCTTGGGGTCCGATTCGTCGAGGCATCGGATGTGCCCTTGCATTTCAGGGCTTGCGGTTGACGGTGGATGGATTGCATCCTCATGAGGATTTCCAACCATGGCATAGAAGGACCCCAAAAGTTTAGAAGAGGAAAATGTACTTTTTTTGCGTCCGGACGTTCCGTCCACAGGCCAGTTGAGCTCCGGAGGATCAGCCGGCCAATGCAGCGTTCAGGATCCAGGGCTTTCTTCACCTACCGCATCCATTTTGCAGGAGATGTACGTCGAAGAGTCGAAGACTTGTGGTGGGGCTCTACGGCTCTACATTCAGCAAGCAGTACCGTAGAACCCCACACGCTCAGATACCACAGACCTCAGGACCCTTTGAAGAGCCTAACCCAGAACGTCATGGACATCGCACCATGCAGGGTCCATGCTGCCGATCTCAAGCAACTTGTATCCAAAGTCAAGGACTCGAAGAAGTAAGTACTTGTCATGCAGAGACATGTCTTTAGACAGAACGTTGCGAAGAAAGGTTCCACATTCACCGGTACTTGAGAATGCTGTGGTGACTTCTGCTTACAGGGGTTCCCAACATTGCTTTTCAATTTGAATAGTGTCTCAGGCAGATCAGGTCAAAGAGGCAGCCGGGTAAGGTCTCACACTGCTCTTGCATCGCTGATCTCGGCTGACTGGCCAGAACCGATATGAATACCTTGAGAAGCCTCCCTTGAGTGGCGCCAGGAGCTAGGATCGTTCAGGCTTCGTTGATGCTCGTGTTCGTGTCCACGCGGCGCGCTAGAGTGACTTCGGAAGGCCTCATGCTCAAGTCGTCCTTACTCTCCATTTTTGTCGTGATGTGCGGAGCTGTCGGTGGATGAACGCTCTTGGTATAAGACTCTCTCAACCCTGAGCTTGAGACCCCCTGAATCGCCAGTCTTGCCAAAGATCCAAGTGTAGAAGCCTAAATAGACTGTTTTTAAGGGTTCCTTACGACAAACTCACTGTAAAATACCATCCGTAACCTTCATGGAAACCTCTAGATCACTTTAAATAGGCACCCTGAGCAGGAACAGGAACCCCATTCCAAATACAAAAATCTCCTGAACGAGCCCTGGTGCTAGCTCAGCGGTGGCTTCCACCGTTCATGGACCCAGTCCGCTTCCCTCTTGCAACTCACCGACCGAAAAGGATGGGCTGGCTTGCCTTAGCATTCGTACAGCTGCCCAAGCATTTTGCGAGATTCCTTTAGAGGGTTGGATAAGGGCTACTAGTCCCCCGAGTTTATAGCAGAGGGGCCCAAAAAAGTGGCAAGGGGTTCTAGGAGAATTTTAGCTCTGTTGCAATTAGAAAAATTGCACAGGGACTGTCAGGGATATCATTACTAGCTATCCATCCCTCATCCTGCGCTGTTACTGCATGTCGGGTTGTTGCTGTCGAAACATGGCAAGACTATTCGTGTTGTCTTTGTTAGCTTCTGACAGCAAAGGACTACTTGTGCACATCGTTTAGCACTCTGGAAGCTCCTGTTACCAAACCACCACCCCTTGTCTATATTCTGGTCTCTCTTTAGTAGGCTCACGGGAGTTTTGCCCCCTGTTGGCTCGGCAGCGATCGCGTGCTAACGCGACCTTCTCGCTCACCACGATGCAGGTCAGATTCCGCTGCGGAGGGTTGAAATTGGAGCCTTACGCTGGCCTTAGTGAAAGGGTCAATGGGTTTACATGAAGAGTGAAACTAGTTGAGGATGAGTCTGAAGCTCTGTGACAGCCACCCTCGGCAGGAGCATGCACTGAGGAAGCCAATCAACCATTTTCTAAGCCAAGTCCGAGTCCGAGCTGGGAGGCTTTTTTCGGCGTAATGCAATTGACCTCTTTGTGTCCCTTGACCTTTGTCCGAGTAGTTGGGTTGCAATTTCCGTACCTTCACTGCACTTAAGTCTTATAAGCTTCGTCGCCTTGCCCATGACATGAGGAACGGGTTCTTCGAGGACTGCAGACTAACTTCCGCCGGGAATTGAGCTGCGCAACCGACTCATTTGCCTGGTGGTTGCAAGTTGCGGTAGCGCCTCACAAGGATGCGCTGAGGCACGCAGGGCACTCATGGGGCTGCCACGGTTAGTAGCCGGTTTGGCGATAGCAGAAAAATGCTCCATGTCAATCGATACTGGCGAGTCGGTACTGCCGCGGCCGCTGCCCGGCTCTAGAAATCACCGGCGTCCTGAAAGCAGTGCCCGTAGACGTGCCTCAGGCCAGCTTCCGCTGTCTTCAGGGAAGTCGGCGCATCAGACAGTTGTAGGATCTGTGACAGCACGTTAAGTCGTTGAAATACGAGTCGTTGGACGAGAAACAGGCTGAGCTCTTTGCCCGCTTCCTCCGGCCCTTCTGTCTCGTGACCGATATTATTCCTCATCTTTGCCGTAGCAGCAGCAGGGTAGTAGCAACAGTGGTAGCAATAGTTGTCGTCGCCGTAGTAGCCGCACAGCATGGTAGTAGTAATTGCTGTATGTCATCATTGCAGTAGAAGTAGCAACAGCAGCAGTTGCAGCAGCAGCAGCATAGGGTTGAGGCCTGCCCCCACTTCAAACCTCCTGGCCAAAACAACGACCTAGCTTACAAGCTTCAGGCTTTCAGGAAGTGCCAAAATCCTAGACCGTTTTGAGAGTTCGGGTGCACTCGGTAGAGGATCAATAGTTCTCGGAATCTCGTGAGACCTGCATACTTAAGCCCCTTCCCGTCCCGAGGCCGATCCCATAGGAGCACATATAGATGTCTCAACATACAGATGTGTATCTATATATATGCACATGTATGGATGGATGGATGGGAAGTATGCACGTCCCATGAAGAAATGCGCAAGGCCAGAGCTCTAAACTCTAAGCACATGAGCAGCCGCGAGAATGACAGACGACAGACCTGAGGAGTCGGGACAATGCCAGTAGAAGTAGTAGTAGTAGTAGTAGTAGTAGTAGTAATGTCAGTGGCAGTGGCATTAGCAGCAGTAACAGTAGACGCAGCGGCAGGAGGTGAAGGAGGAGAAACAGCAAGACCGGTTCTCTCCATGGCAAGAAAAGCAGTACCCATCCGCTGCGCAGTTTGCTCCAAAACTACGCAGGCTTGCTTTACGCACTGCATCATGTACTACAATCTCGTCGACATCTCTTCAACCAGTTACCTTGAACTTTCCTTCATCCAGAGCCTTTAGCCTATTCGTAGCGACGTGCACAGCTAAGCCTTCCATCCAACCCTACTCCACTGGGCCTTTGCCCCTGATCCCTAAACCCTACCCCTAGGGGTAAGCCCCAAACTCCTAAGCTGCAATTGGGAGTTTCCGAAAATAGGGGGTACCTTATTGGGGGTCCTTATAATATGGATCCTACCATTTAGGGTACTATATTAGGGTCCCCTATTTTCGGAAACCCCCATATGACCAGTGAGATGACGCATGTCTTGTGCCATTGGTGCTCATCTCGGCAGCTTCCATGAGCAGGGGCCTCATCTCCAAGTGTGCCTGGGGCACCCGGAGGGTGGGTATTCGGGTTTAGGGATAAGGGGGGGGGGTCTGTAGCTAGCAGCTAGAGGTTCAGGGTTTTGGGGCTCCGGCGTTTAAGGTGCTGGCCTCAAGATGGCTCTCACTTCGTCGTGTTGCAGACACACGACGTGACTACCTGTTTGCAGAACACAGCACTTTGACTCTGCAACTGCTCTTTGTGGTAACTTCGAACTATGCTCTCAGCTCCAGTGTCTTGGGAGAATTCGGCATTCGACATCTGGCCGGCGCAGCTGAGTTGGGTATCCTCGAGCCGGGCTTGCAATGCCTTGCAGGAGTCCGATGGATAGTGCATCACGGTATTGGAAATGCTGCTGGTGATCATCGCTATCCCCATGATTCGATACTGATGACGATGATGATTTTTATGATGACGATGACACTCATAATGATGATGTTCACTTCGGGCGAATTTCTCTGCGGTGCGACTTGGGCAGCTGGGCGGGTGAGAAAAGGATGGTGAGGACGATGTCGATGATGATGAAGATGATGATGGTGACATCAGTCCCTCCAAAAGGAAGCCCCACGAAACGGATGTTCTGAACCCTGACATGCAGAAGAGACTTGCCCAACATGCGTAATTAGATAACCCGTGTGCTCTGACTCGTCATGAAGAGTGCTCAAAGTACAAAGCTCAAGAAGTCTCCGTCAGAGGTGGGGCAGAGATAAGCGTGTGCTACGAGGCACCAGCAGACTGCGGAACGGGGCGGGATCTCGATTCTAGGGGGTCAACTGGCTTCCATGAGCTTCCGCAATGCCACTTTAACTTTAGAGTCTTTGGAGTCTACTTTCCAGCAGCCTTGTAAGAGAAGTGTTTCTTTGCAACAAGGGTTGAAGCTCTGCATGGGAAGTCATCAGATCTTCAGATTGAAGCTTGCTTTGGGATGTTCAGCTGTTCCAGAGCAGCTCGGGAGCCGCCAAGCCCGGCCTTTAATTCCCCAGACATGCAGTAGCCCATCCAAGAACGCAGCCTCCGTGAGCACCGCTCACCTGTAACCAGCTCTTGAGATCTCTGGGACCCCAAAGCCAATCCCAGTTTGTGGGGCCGCCGATGTCAAGAGGCTTTCGATGGCCATGCCGGAGCAGTGCGCCAGTCACTTTTCCAAGTGCTAGGCCATGAAGCGGTAACAAACATTATATTGCAAACCTATAAAAGCTTGGTGTAACCGACTGGCATTCCACCTTAGCATGCCGACACGAACGATTGATAGATCCCTGAGCAGCCTCACAGAGCCTCAACGCTTTGCAACAGGAGGTCCTTGAATCCTTGCAAGGATGCTGGCAAAACGTCGGGTCCCTCGGAAATGCAGGCTTTGAACAGCTTCGGGGGTGGGTTTGATTTGCATGCGTCCTTCACGGGCTCAAAGAAAGGGCGCTGAGGGGTGCCCAAGGAGCTTCAGCTTTGTGCGCTTTAGGATTCCGGGTAAGAGGGGGAGGGGGGTTGGGTTGGGGCCTTAGCCTCGGGTCCTGACATTAAGCTCTTCTGCTGTTTCCTGAAGCTCGCAATTCCTATCGCTGCAACTACGATGTGCTTTGGGCAGTTAGTGAACTTTAGGCTTTCAAGGCGCCGTCGTTTGAAGACGTAGCCACATGAGACAGCAGATTTCACCTACCAACGAACATTCGAGCAGTAGCAGTCTTTGACGCTCCTAGGACCGGACAACATCATTTCCTAAACCCTGAAGTCTACAGGGGCGAAACCACAATGCTCGTCGAAGCTTGAGACTGCAGCACTGGGCCCTTCAGCCCCGAGGACTACAGGGCGACTCCAAACCAGACTTGGGGGGATCGGTTTACAGTGGGAAGCATAGGGCATAGGGATAGCCTTGGCCTTGGAACATGGGTGCCGTTCCATTCGTTAGACTTGTGAGGATAGGATAATGATGCTCCAACGTTCTGGCTTCTGAAGTTGGTGCTTTAGGGGTTCAGAGTTTCAAGTCCGGGGTCGGGTTTCAAGCCCAGGGGTGTCGGGCTTGGAGTCCAAGATGTGGTGCTCCGCATCTGGGCCTATGGTGCTTGTGTCAGTTTGGGATTTCCGGGCTCAGGGCTTCACAACCAGATGACGATGTCGAAGACGGGAAACCCCGAAACAGATAAGGATCGAAACAGCGTAACTACAAATTGCTGCCGACCGGATCAACACGGGGCGCTGCAGAAGCTCGCCGTCCACGTGCCCGCGCGGCTTCGAGCCTCCCCTAAAGCTCTGTGAGACCTCGCATCTCGCACAAGGTCAAAGAACCCACGGAGTTCTACATGGTGCAGCAGATGTCTGTGACGCGTTTCAGGCAGCTGAGCTGATTTCGCAGCCTTACCTTGGGGCTCCGGGGTTGAGTTTTGCTCGTTTAGTTTGGGAAGCGACGTTCGAGTTCGGGGACTCGCAACCTTTTGCCAAGCCCGGACTCGTGAACAAGCACACGCCGTCTGCGCACATCCTCGAAGCCCGGTAGTGATGTCGACAAAAGAACGCATGGGAGGCACGTTGAGCTGTCCTTCGTGCCGAACGCAGGATTGTTCTTCATGCCTCCCGAGTACCTGACATTCCGGCATGTTGTCTAAGGACCCTTTTCGATGTTCTACAACGTGAAGTGGCTAGTTGAAGAGTGCTACTGTTGAAGCCTCTTACATCCCGCAACTCCAAGCATGGATCGTCAGGAATACAGTGCAAGACTAGTGCTTATCTTATCCTCATCCGTACTACTGCAGCTAGGACCACCAGTAACCACGAAACGATCAAGCATTGTACCCGCAACTTGGCCCTAGAATCCCAGATCCTAAAGTCTTAAATTCTGGCAGCTGAACTGATACTGCAGCCCCTTAGCTCGCCAAGGCAGAAGACGGGAGAAGTGATGGAGCCGTCGACCCAGCTGAAAGGTGGCAAGGTATGGCCTGCCCATGTTTCCGAAGGGTTCTGGATTCGATGTGATTAAGCTCTGAGCATCTCTACTTTGCAAGCGCTGTTGTGGATCATCTGGCAATGCCGTTTCTCACATGTGTTCAGGTGTCGTCTTTGTGACCGAAGTGGTTCAGCTTTTCGGGATGGTCTCCCCTTGTCTAGACTTTGACCGAGCAGAGAGTTTGCAGAAATGGAGCATGAGAAACATGAGCAAACTGTTCGAAGAGACGTATGTTTGTCCATATTTCTGTGGAGCTGAGGATTGGGGTTTCGGCAGCTAGGAGCAATTGGAGAAGGAGGAGCAGATCAGCCGAAACGGATTGGCAAATTTGAGAAACATGAGCAAACCGTTCGAAAGGTACGAGAGAATTGGACTGGACAATTTGTAATGCGGGGGCAAAGTGCTCTCGACAGAAGCGTAGAACATGAGGGACATGTGCAAGCGCTCATATTCACATCCTAGACAACAGAGGTTCTAGCTCTAGTATACCCGAGCTTGGGGCGACTTCACGCCTTTGGCGGCTTCAGCGTGTGGGTGTTCGCCAGGCACGATTCAGGCACAGAGTGTCTCGGTGTTTAGTTCGAGTTGTTGCGATTCTGGTTGGGCTTGTTCGAGCTTATTTTTCTTTGAGCCTGTTGCCTCCTCAGGCAGGCCAAGTGCCTGGCTTCGGGATTTCTGCGGCTGGTAAAGCAACAGGCGGCAGGTCAGCCGTTGACTTATTTTGTCACTTACACCCGGACTCTCGGCATATTGTGGGTCGACCGACATTTGTCCAAGCCCAGAGCCTCCAAAGCATCCATTCGCAACAGCCAGCTGGAGGCACTGCTTGCTTGTTCTAAATCCTGATAGCCTGAGCGCTAGACCGGAAAACCTGAATTCTAGAAACCCCCAACCAGAGACCACTACTCTAGGTTTTCGCGCGTCCTGAGACCGGACAGCACGAACAGCGGCGTCCAGTTCGGGTCCTAGAAGGCTTTGCCACAGGCTGGCAGCAAGTTCCCTAGTGTATGTCCAGAATATCTAACATGTATAGGTGCATGTCGTGTGCTTGTACATACATATGCATACATGTACGTATATATATATATATATACATACATACATACGTACATACATACGTACATACATACATACATACATACCCTGCCATGCAGTGTCAGCTCCCTGACGGTGCCAAGTGGGAGCCAAAAAATACATGAACATACATGCATGTGTGCCCGTACGTGTTGGGCCATTATAAACATTTTGAGGCATACACTGCAACGCCTGCATGCGACTTGACTGTTCGACGTATCCGTGCGTTTCTTTGGTTTTGTAGTTGTTACTTGGCTTAGTCTGTCCTGCGTTGTTGTTACTGCTTTCAGTATGTGCTGCACGTGACCTGGTTCCTTGCACTGGAAGCAATGTCACTGTATCATTGCAATGAAGCAGAAATCCGAAAGCCTGCAGTGCATTTTTCAGTCAGAGCAGAACGCAAAACAGGGCGCTGGCTGAAAGCCACATTGTAATTGATGGCTCAATTATTTACACCATATTTCCTATGACTCCTGTATATGCAGGGGTGCTTGTTTCGAGGTTTTTTTCGGGTAGCATCGCTTCTGAAACTCCCAAGTGGGATCAGAGGCTTTCAGGCTCCGTGGCTCTCAGTCCTCGAACTCGGCTCCATGGTACGGCTGATGGACAAAATCCTGCATGACCCTATATACCTAAACTATGGGGTTTATGGTACTATATTATATTTGGGTCATGCAGAGTTTTGTCCAGCAACAGTAGGACCCACATCTCTCGAAACTGGAAGCCTTTCCCACCTCCGCCAGCAAATCGCCAGCTTCACAAAGACTGAAGGTGGGGCTTGCAGGGGCGCTTCATCATGCAAGTCGCTGTCTTAACTCAGTGCTGAGGCTTCTTGGATAGGAGCCTATGTGATCTACCCATGGAATCAGGATGCCGTGCATTTCGGTGAGACGTCTTGCTTTCTGAGTGGGTTGGGACCTGTAGACCCTAAACTTTTAACTAAACGCAAACTGCCGCCGGAAAGCTTCCCCATGATCCTTTACACTTTGCAGCTGATAGGCGAAGGAGTTTCAAGAGCGGGTAATGAGCTTCCCGGGTACTCAACATGCAGCGATGCTACTCAGTAGGCGGTGGCCCAACCCGATCCCTGCTGGAGCACCTCAATGTGTGAGGCTTCTGAAGTAGAATATGCTGTGCGCGGAAATGGAGAGTAGCCGAATGGCGGTTTTTCTTAAAGAGGACTTGCATCATGCGCTTTGAACTGCAAACCGAAACCTCAAAAGCACCCCAGAAAGCACATCTCAGCCCCCAAGCCAAGGTAACCTTCTGTACAAATAATTGCCTCGCTTCAAGCGGCTCTAAGGTATCGACAGACGGTTGCTGCTGTCTAGGTCCCATCGTGGGTTTCTGAGTGGTCCAGGAAAGGCTGTAGTTGGGGAAGCCCACTTCACAAATACACAATGCTTCACTCCTTCCATATCGCGCCAAGTAAGCATCCTCGCAGCTGTAGTGGATCCTGACCTAAACCCAATTCTCACAGAATATGATAGCCCTTCGTTCCCATAGAATTTAAATCCTTTAGTTCTAAAAACGCGAGAGCCGCCAGAGACGGCCCACTGAGGTTGACACCGCCTCTACAGAGAACACCCTGGAGCTGCACTGCCCCAAGTGGGCATTGGAGAAACCGATAGCTCTTGGACGTTTCGGATTTTTTCATGTGTCTGGTGTTACAGGAGCTAGAAGCTTCGCATGAAAATGGAAGAAAAGGTTCGCTATATTAATGAGTTCGGGCGTTCAGGCAAGAATTGCAGTCGCAAGTGACGTCGTCGAACACAAGTTGAGTGTGGTTTGCTCGCGCCGGAGCTTAAACGCTTGAGGCTCCTGGTTTGCGAGTTTCTGCACAAAAAAGGAGCCCGAAGAAGAAATGTCGCGTCGATGAAATCTCAAGGATCGGAGCCAAAGCTTTTCGGTTGAAAAGGGCAGACACCTGAGCTACTCACCCGTTGCCATTGATTCGGATGAGTGCGAACTTCTTAGACAGAGCGGCTTTGAGTTCTCCATTTAAGTAGTCGTCAAAGGCTGCATTGCACTGCCTCATCGTTTGGATGCTTCGTCGCGCTTTGCTTCATATTCTGCCCAACAGCCCCCGCCGCAAGCTTTACGATACGCTGAGGGCTGCCAATGACAAAACCCGACACCTTAGAGGCAGAAATGCTTCAACACCCGACCCGAAGCACATAGCGGGACCGCTTTGCAGAGGTCGCGAATCAACTGGCTCACTCCCCTGGAGGCGGCTCACGGGCACTTTCTTTTAAGGTGCTAGGAAGAATTCAGGAGCTGAGGGTGGCTTTAAGCTTGGGCTCTGCTCCAAGCTATGGGATTCTACGGTGCCGTTTATGAAGCTATGGAGGGTTGGAGAATAGTGCTTTGGTAGAGTTGCAAACCATTCGATATTCGGTCTCTGGTATCAGTCTCTGTTGGGCTGCATGCAGCTTCTGTGTGCTCTCCCAACGCCGACATGCGCACAATCTTGGGAGCTTCAAAAGATAGGGGACTCTAACAAAGAAACTCACGTTGCTAGTAACAGAGGCCCCGAGATGAAGGTACTGCTAAGTTTCAACTTCCACACAGAAGGCTTCACACGGCAAATCCTGAACGCCACCTTCGACCCCACGTAGATGAGAGGAACCTCCAGGTTTTTGGCTCTGTGGGATCAGGGCACCAGGAATTCCCCAGGGGGGAGCCCCAAATACAGACCCGTGAAGGCCAAGGATCCCGGCCAGCCCTTGGCTTGAAACCAGCGCCCCTTCGCCATGAACCGAAAATTCACGAACTGCACTAAGCCTTAAGCCTCCAAGTCATCTCTGAATCGGTGGACCCCAAAGCTTCCAAGCAAAGTCCTAGAACCCTGCTGACATCCAAGCCATCTCGACAAGAAGCCTTCCCGAGAGATCAAGTCGACGAAGGCCCACACCCAGGCCCTCTCGGGCCCAAGGGAGCCTGGAACTGCTGGGGTGCTGGGCCCAGTGTTTGGGGCTTTAGCTTTAGGATTTGGGTTTCAGGGTTGCAGCTTTCAGGCTCCTGATTCGGAGCTTGCAGAGAGAACGCAAGTTGTCGCCTCACAAGTAGGGATGCTAAAGCAGGCGGACTTGCAGTGTCTGAAAGGATCGGATTCTCAACGCTACGCAGCTTTCTTCTCTTGCGCTGAAGGCTCACAGTGGGCAGCGCTCCATGCTCTTATTGCTTCTTGCTTCTACTGTGTGTCCTACACTTCTTCCTGTCTCAATGTCTTGGCTATGTGGTGTTGTGATGCGATGAGTACCATGCTAGCCCTGAGTATTACCATTGTTAGCTGCTTAAGTTACTGATTTTGTTGGATTGCTCGCCTTGCTGAGAAGAAGGCGCACGCCCGAAAGCATCCCGAGCTTCGACCGCATGTCCCGGACCACGCCACACCTTCCTGCGGCCGAGAGTTGCTTCTTTTGACAGGTACCAAAAAGCGAAAACTCTACGAAACCGTTTATCTCACTCGACTGAGAGGCCCGTGCACAGCGCAAGCAGTGCAGAGCGAGCCATGTCCAAAGGGTCTTTGCCAGTCAATCCGCAATTCTGCGGCTGAGATCGCAACTCTTCCGTATTGGGCGAGTTGCAGTAAACTCTGATAGGCGTGCCCGTGCCTTCTTCATAAGCTCAACATCAGCGCCCATGAGCAAACCCGGAGAGCGCATGAGCAAACCACACGGCACTGCAGCACAACCCTTCAGAAAAGTAACCTGTACATCACATGCCTTGAGCGAGGCACACAACGCCCGTCTGAGGAGCCTAATCTGAACAGCGGCTGACAGGGGAGGCCTCAAAGGTATGTCGCGAGCATTCACCCACACTCCGGCCGTTGGATGAAACGCGGGAAATTCGAGCACATCTGCAACCGTAACTAAAAACGCAAAGTCAATCCAGCTCACCTCGAAAGCAACGGCGGCATCGCCATCCTGTTCCATGAAGAACTGCGTGACCTCGACGATGAACTGAGCGGGCAGGTCGATCTTGATCGCCTCGCACCGGCGTCTCCAGTCCAACGGAAAGGCCTCTGCCATCGTCTCCGAGCGCGGCACTCCTGCTGGCAGTAGTACTTGTTGGATGTCCTCCGCCTCGTGCTGGTCTTCAGCCACTGCTTGGCCTTTTCTCTGCAAAGTTTGAGCGGCAATCCGAAAGAAGATGCCGCGCAAAGAGCGAATGATGGACTTGAGCTCCAGCTGTTCGTTGATGACCTGCATGTAGAGCTGTTGGAAGGCATACGAACGGTTGTTATTGGCCATGCCTGCCACCATGTCTGCATGCGCATTGTGCCGAGCCACCCATTCCTCAAAAGGACTTTCACAGCGCGCGGATCCAAGTGGGATGGGATATGCACAATTTGCAAAAAGCCTGACTCTAGCTGCTGCAAAAGCTGCGCCAACTGTGACCACAAATCCTGGTTGTCAATCGGCAGGGGGTCCCCAGGGCTATCCAGAAGCCTTTGTACTCCGAGTACCACGTGTTTGCAGTCGGTCCAAAGGTTCACGGCGACACGCATCGCAATGGCCCACCTAACCGCGCTAATCACGGCACATAGCTCGGCGCGAGGAGCTGTTTGCCACACCCCATGTAGTGGCCCACAGGATACCACTCCTCCGGTTGAAGCACTTATGACGCCCCAACCTGCCAAAGCAAGGCCCTTCACATCTTGAAGCATGCAAGCCCCGTCTGTGAACAGGTGCTGGCGCCCGCCCCGGAAGGTTTGCAAGCTCAGCCCTGAGCAAAGGCATAAGCCGACTAGCTGGCGGGAGAAGATGGTGTGTCAAGGAGGTTGGCAAGGTTTCCCAGCGCTGAAGAACCCACGCATCCTGAGCTCGAGCTGCCTCATACTCAGGGCAGTGGCGCAGCCTGTGTTCCACATCATCTGGAACATGGCAGTG